AGTAAATACTAAATATTAAACATTATTGTGCAGCACATAAGATCAACAGAACACAGTGTGCTTTGAGGTAGGAGCCAAAAAGGGTGTAGTTTGTGTGTGCGAGCACCCGTGTGTACACCTGTGAGCATGGACGCGCTCGTTTTTAAAAGGTTCCTTCATGTAATGATCTGCTAGAGGGTGTGGGGGGGCCACAGCCCCGTCCTCCAGGACATGAAGCAGGTATGGAGGAGATCAAAACTCCAGACATCCAGAGGCCCCCAGAACACAAGAGACCAAGGAAGACCAACAGAGGGGCACACAGACTCATCTAAAATGTTAGTTAGCTTCCTACCACCACCACGTCTAACAGTCTCAACAGTCTTTGATTTAACAGTTTTCACAGTCTCAGACTTTACGTGGCCAGGTTTAGAAAAAACAGACTTGGCAAAAGTGGGTTTTAGCTTATTTCCACCATGATGAACAGTATTAGGACTAAAAATCTCAGAGGAATGTATATTGTCATTACCGTGAGGAGCTAAACCAAAACTGGCCTCCCAATCCAAATCATCATCGAGAAAAGAGATCCCGAAGGTGTCTGAGGTGAGATTATAGTCCTTTCTGTTTATTGGCTCAGGAGTGTGGGAAATGTTGTCATTTCGACTCACCACCACAAGTTGCTCAGAATTGTCCATATGTCCATATTTCCTCGGGAGGAGCAACGCTGTGTCAAGTTTTCTGAATCTCTTGTTAACGTGATAATTCAAGAAGTAAGAGACACATGATTTTGAAACTGATAATGTTAGGTGCATCTACTAAAGATCACAAACGAGTTCAATTCTCATAGATCTCAACCTCAAGGTCAAGATCAAAGGTCAGGTTTTCTGAATGTCTCGTGAATGCAATAACTTGAGAATGACGTGACGTAGGATTTCAAAATTATGCCATACCTTCTACCAGCTGCATCTACCAGAAGGCTGAGGATTACCACTGGCGGCTGAGAGTAGTTTTAACCTGAGCCAAACTACCAGCATCCCAACCTCGGATATTTACTTAATACAAAGACATTAATATTGATTTATTACAAATATCTTAATCTAAGAGCATTAAAGTGTATTTGAAAAGTATTTACATTTTCCTTAGCACATAGCTAATTTACCCTCTCTGCATCCAGGTGAGTGGGTTGCCGATTGCAGAAGTCATGGATACATGGACCAAACAGATGGGTTATCCTGTGCTGGACCTGTCTGTCTCTGATACGGATGCCAGACTGAGCCAAAAGCGTTTCCTCTTGGACCCCAAAGCTGATACTAGCCAGCCTCCTTCAGATCTTGGGTATGAGAAAGAAAAAAATAACCATGACAGCGACCATCAACAAGATGGTCGCTGTCATGGTCCTCGGGTCATTGACCCAGCATTTGTGTCTCAGTATTTGTCCTCGTTCTAGTTAGTATTTAGTTGCAGTTTGTTTAGTGGTGGTTTTAGTTGAATTTTCTCTGCATTTATAAATCTTATGTGTTTTGTGGCTCTTTGTGGATTTTATTCTTGAGAGTTTTAGTGCTGTGTGCTCTACTGTGCCATGTTCTTTTCCTATCATCCGACTGACTTTGTTACCGGCTCCAGCTCTGTCATTATTGGTATTTTGTGTTTCTGGGGTAGAAATTACACTGGACAGAAATGCAGAATTTGCAGCTTTAACAATCTTCTGATATTTTGATAAGCAGTCCACCAAATCAGTGGTCCTCAACCCCTGGCCCAAGGACCGGTACCAGTCCGTGAGTCGTTTGGTACCAGGCCGCAAGAGTTGAGGCTCGGGTGTGATATTTAGGGTTTTCAGGATTTTTATCGTTAACTCGGTTTCCCTGGGTCTTTTCCCGTGTTGTAGTTGTGTGTCTTATTTTGAAAGAAATATTTACACGTTACCATAGCGACCAGAGAGCATAAAGTGGCAGAGAGGAGGATGTTACTCTCAGTGTTGTTGGCGCATTTGATCGTATCATTTTATTTTGCTGTATTTATCCGCCACACCTTAAAGGCCGGTCCATGAAAATATTGTCTGACATTAAACCGTCTGTGGTGCAAAAAAGGTTGGGGACTGCTGCACTAAATATCACAGCCCTCTTCCAAACTTTCTGACCTGGCTGGTAGTGAGGCTCCTTGGTTCAGCATTGACCAGCTAGCTGCTTATTCTGCTCCACGGTGCCCAGCAAGGTGGCCTGAGCAGATTTCCAGAGCTCGCGACACCAGCATAAGTGGTGCTGAACAGATGGGACAGTGCACTCACCCTTAACAGAAGGTAACAAAGGCAACTGATACCCCAGTGACGACTCAAAAGATGAGAGGCCAGTGTCAGAGGATGTCAGGGATATGTGCGGGAACTATATCAAGGCCAGTTGGTGCTCCAGGTGGACAGGTTGGAATAGACATCACACCGGAGGGCCAGCTCACTCTTAGTTAGGTCCAGTTGTCAGGATCTGTGGGGCGCAGATTGTGTTTAGCAAAACAGGACCCAAATGCACATGTAGAGATGGGATCTTAACAAAAGGCGAATTGTTTATTAATGCTGATTAATAACTATTCAAAATACAAACAAAAAGCAAAAGGGAATTAAGACTGACATTAGCAAAAAACAAGAGTAGGAAAACACTATAGGAACTAGAACAATAGAACCTGGGAAAGACACGAGGGGAGGTCAGCTGACGTTCTGGTGAGAGACAAAAAGGAACTCACACAATAACTACACAGACTGGAGACAGCAGGGGAACACAGCTGGAACGAATTAGATACAACGAGACAGGAGAAGCAAAACTAAACACAAAGCACATGAGACAAAGACTATCAAAATAAGACAGGAAACACAATAAACACAGAAAGAGACCCAGACTCAAAACACAAAGCTGACACTGGAAGCGAATACCACGACCCAGAGACAGACAGCGACATTAATGACAGCATGCTACAGCATAATCACTCTAATAGGATATTATGGTCGACCGTATCGAACGCTGCACTGAGGTCTAGCAGGACAAGCACAGAGATGAGTCCACTGTCAGAGGACATAAGAAGATCATTTGTAACCTTCACTAAAGCTGTTTCTGTGCTGTGATGAGCTCTGAAACTTTTAAGATCAACCATTCTGCTGCAGACGATCTGTTTATTGTTTTACAACTGCTTCAAGAATGTTTGAGATAAAAGGAAGCGTGGAGATCTTGGAGAGACAAAATTAGAGACTTTCTTGTGACTTATTGGAGCATTTAGCAGTAAAGGAGAGCATTTGTTGTTCTTGATGAAAATGACTAAATAAGGACATGTTAGTTAAGTCACAGAATAGATAAAAAGTAAAAAAAATGTATGTGAATTGATCACTATAAATGTGTTTTTGTTCCAGGTACAAGTGGACAATTCCAGTCCAATGGCATTCTCTTCAAAGTGACAAAAACATGTCACTTATGTTTGACAAAAACACCGCAGGTATTTCAGCTTAAATTTTTTGTGGTCATCTACAAAACATTTATTATAATGAAAAGCAAATCCACAACCAGCAGGCAGGACAGTGATATAAATGTTTTGCACTAAAAGCAAAGTTGAGATGCTGCAATTGATAGTACATAGTTTAGTTTTTATCTGGTACCTTCTTAGATAGAGAGACATCTATGTTAAGTGCAACCAGTTGGATGGTAATAACTGTCCATCCAACCATCCATCCATCCATCCATCCATCCATCCATCCATCCATCCATCCATCCTCTACCACTTATCCAGGTTTGGGTTGTAGGGAGAGCAGTCAAAGCAGGGAAACCACCTCCTCTAGTTCATCCAAGAGGACACGAGTCATTACCAAGCTTGCCAACAAGTAATCTCTCCAACGAGTCCTGCGTCTGCCCTGGGGCCTCCTGCCAGTAGAACAAGCCCAAAATACCTCATCTTGGACCTCCAAGATGAGGTATTTTGGGCTTGTCCTACAAGGATGCCTCCACCTGTCTACGAGGCATCCTTGTCAGATACCCGAACAACCTCAACTGGCGCCTTTTAATATGGAGAAGAAGAAACTGTACTCCCAACCCCTCTTAAATAGCTGAGCTGCTCAATATATTCCTAATGGAGAGCTCAGTATATATACCCAGAGTTCATGACTCATGCATTAAGAGAATTAATTGGGCAATCCAGGATCAGTACTGAAAAATCAGGCAGGCCATTCCTCCCGGTCACAAGCCTCCAGGTGAGTGTTGAAGTGCCCCAGCACAACAGTGGAGTCCACAGGTGGAGCACTGTTCACCATTCTACCCAGTGATTCCAAGAATGCTGAGTACTCTGAACTGGTATTTGGTGCACAGTTACGACAGTAGGGACCCATTCCCTGATCTGATGGCACAGGGAGGCAACCCTTTTATCCACTGGGTAAAACACTGAACATGCAGTTATTGAACCAAGAGGATACAAGTAAATTCATCCCAGTCTGCCACCTCCCACTGAGGGCACATCTTGGGGGAAATAGATAGACACTGGTTCCAGAGCTTGAGCTGTGCTTTGAGGCGAGCCCAAATATATCTAGTTAGTATCGCTCAACCAGGGAATTTATCCCCACCAGAGAAGTGACAAGTAACAATTAACTTTAAACATCAAACTTTCAAACAGTACTGCTCATAATATTTCCTCCACTGTTCTTATAATGACTACTTTCAGAGCAAACCATCACCGGTTACTCACCATTAGCGGATGGGCTGCTAAAGGTTAACGATGATCATATTGGATTCTACAGAGTCAACCATGATGACCGCATGTGGACTGCTATTAGTCAACAGCTTCAAACCAACCATTTGGTATACCTTTCAGACCCCACTTGAACATAATAATTTCTATTCTACACTCAACCAATCATATTGTAGATTTTATCTGGGTTGCTAAACTCTTATTATGGAGGAGTTAGAAAATGAAGAGGCAGAGCCAAACCATACCACAGTATTCATAGGCCTCACTGTTACTCTTTCTGAATCTCTTGTCCCCCAGGAGTTTGATGCAGCTGATCGCACAAGCTATATTGATGATGTTTTTGCTCTTGCAAGGTTGGATATCATCAAAACACTCAAAGAAATCTGCATAAACAAATCATTGATGTCTAATCGGAAATACAGAATACTAATCTTTTTTCTTTTAACTGTTTAGAGCGGACATTATAGATTACGGTCACGCCTTCAACCTCACTAAGTACCTGACAAGTGAGACGGAGTATATAGTCTGGGACCGTGTGGATGCCTCCATTGCCTATGTCCGGAACATGTTGTCTAGCAATGCTCTACTCTATCCGAAGTTTCAGGTAATCACAATGTTAACACTTCTGTCTTTCTATGTATGATTCACATTTAAGCGCTCAGTTATTTAAAAGCAAATAATCATTGTAAGCAGAAACACAAATCACAAACAAAACAAGGCCACAGTATATAAACCTGTCAGTTTATTATTGCTGTTATTAATAAAGAATATTAATACGTCTCAACTCATTTCCAACTTTTAATCCCACTATCTGCATAGTTTTTATAGCTGCAATTTAGATGATATTCTTGTGCTTTGGGTAAGACATTGAGTTTCCATCTGCAATGAAATGTGCAAGTTTCACATGCTTCGTTGATATTATTACCATTATATACACCAGGTGAGATAGTTTTAATCTCTCTTCTACATTATAATATCAACCTGTAGCATTTAGAAAAATGTCCCCAGGAAATAATGCTCATAACAGTGAGATAGGTAGAAATACGTATTAACTTATATATGCCATCTATACAAAGTGTGTGTCTCCTTGGGTGTTCTGTGTTGGACTTTACCTTCCACATCTTCTCCAGTTGTTGCTACAGCACTTGGAAGCTCTTGGCATTTGTCAGTGTTCAAATGCTTCTTTCTGATGCTGGTGTTAGCTGGGATTGCCACATCTGTCACGGCCTTAAAGCAGATACCTCCTAATTTGGGCAGGAAAATTTGCTTTGCGTTGAAAAGGTGGAGGTGGGAGAAGAATTTAGTTAACAAGCTCTGACGAGCTTCTCACTGGGCTTGGAAAGACAAAAAGAAGTTGGAAGGAAGGAAAAGGTTTTGTTAATAGTGTAGATCATCCAATTAGGTATGTATTTAGTGGGTTACATGTGTCTAAGGATATAATTTCTGACCCCCCCGCCCCCCCTAAAAAAAAATACATTTAAAAATTGGATACATTAGTAACAAAGTTGAAGGTGATAAATCTGCAATATTAGATATGGTATGTGAAAACTGTTAATGTTAATAGTATCATGAGTGTAAGAAGAACAGATTAAGGCTGGATACCCTGTGCCTTACCCCCATCAGGGTAAAAGTTTACTTAAGTTTAAACTTAAGTATAGAGAAGAAACTAATATGCGCTTAACTATAAAAGTAAGGATGCTAAAGGGTGTTGGATGATAATGAATAGGAACATCTTCACAACTGATTGCCTGTGATGGAATAACAGTAGAGGAGTTTCATGGTTATAAACGTCTAAAGCCGTATGGTACAGATTTGTTTGATTTTAATACAAATTTACTTAAATATTTAATTTCAAGACTTTTTCTGAGGAAGAGGTTAAAACCCAGATCAAGTATCTGAAGAATAATAATATGAGTGCAAGTCCTGCAGAGCTGATTTCATTGGTTACCAACTTGGTGGTGATGAAAAGGTTTATACCAACAAATCAGACGGTATGAACTGTGGAACCCAGTTATAGTTGTTCAGATCAAGTCATCTTACCAGTATTGCTGTATGGCTCAGTGGTATGAGGTCATGAAGAAATGTCTCTCTTTTTTAAGCTTTTCATGTTGCATTTATCAACACACTACTTAAGTTAAACAGAAATGTATTCGTTTTTGGTTTTTCTTACGTTTCGTTTTCTAGAGAATCGATATGATAAAAGTGGATAGCAACCCTAATATCTGATTGCACTGTATTTTCACTTTTACAGGGACATATCACTAAGGTTAGGAATTGATAAGAATTTAGTGATTCCGATTCCATTAGAAATGACACTTATCGATTGGGTTCCCTGTTGATTCCCTTATCAATTCTAATTGGGTTTGTCAGCACCATCTCTAAGTAGCATATCAAAGACATTGCATGCTGAGTGCTCAAATGTTTGTAAATGTCAGATGATGTGATCAGTGTTCGGGTCATTACTCAATTGAGAGTAAAGTAAAAAAGTTCTTACAAATATCACATGGAACACTTTTCTTAAAAGTAATGCAGTACGTTACTTAATGGCACCCAGAAGAAAGACATTTGTTATAATTGTCATGATCCTGGGTCCTTTTGACCCAGCGTTTTGTGTTTTCTCTTCGCGATTTTGGTTCTGTTCTCTAATTGGTGTTTACCCTGTCCCCCCCCCGTGTGTTCCTGTTTTATTGTGAAGGTCTGCGTCTTATGTGAGTGTTTTCAGTTTGCCTCCCTGGTCTCGTCATGTTAATCACTCCCAGCTGTGTCTCCCACCTGTGTGTAATCTCCCTGTGTTGTGAGTGTATTTAAGTTGTATTTTCTGTCTCAGTAATCGCTGGTTCGTCTGTGTTGTTTCCCCTCGCTCTCCCTGCGTCTTCCCGTATGTATTTCTCCGGACCTCCCTGCATCCTCATTCTGGTTTGTCTTCTTAGTTTACCCAGTTTAGGTCTCCAGTTTCATGTTTTGTCGCCACCGCTGTTTGTACTTACCCACCACTGTAAATAAACACTCACCTGCACCAGAGCTGCTGCCTTTTTGGTCCTTTCCTACAATCCCACACGGCTTGCCTCGGCAATCCGTGACAATAATACTAGTTAAGTTACTTTCGTGGGGCAATCGTGGCTCAAGAGTTGGGAGTTTGCCTTGCATTAACTCAGCCAGTTAATCCAAGAGAAGTCTAGCTGCTCATTAAAGCTTTCTGGTTTGATCAGAAAATAAAACATTGGTCCAAACACCTGAAAGTCCCAAAAATGCATTGTGAATTCTGTCTCGAGTCTATGGATGTATCCGTGTATTTCTTCCTTCCCTTATAACTGCCCTTCAACTCATTCATGTCACCTAAAAGGTAAACCTGTTTCTCCATCACAGCTCTGATGATCCAGTAAGGACATCTTCTGGTTTCATCTTCATGTTTCCCTCTCACCACATATCCAAACCGACATCATGACCAGCAGCTTTACAGCTGTGGCTCCAGCAAACATCAGCTGATACTAGAAATTAATATTAAATAAATTCTAACAACAGCTGATCAAGCTTAAACGTGCTGCTGTTGTTTAGCGCCACATCCGCTGGTTTCCTCTTTCTGACGCAAAGTGGGAGATAAACAAACAAGAGAGAAAAGCCGATCAGCTGATCATTGATCAGTTTCATGATTGAAGTAGAAACGGGAGAGGGAGGGGGAGAATGAGAGAAGAAGAGGCAGCTGTGCAGCGTAACGACAGAATAAATCCAACTTTGTGTCTTTTTCCATCCTAGACAAACTGCGTCCCTTCTCAGCTCAACACGAAACGCGTAATATTTTCTCTGAATGAGGGACGATTCCGTCTTTTTACAGCACGGTTGGCAAGTCTACTAACTAACCTTATGAATAAAATAAAGTTCACCATCAGTAACATCATAGCACCACCCAGCTGTATAGAAACTCCGTCATGCTAGCTAGTAGCAGTACGAGTTGTTGTAACTGACAGTAAAAACTCAGCACAACGAAAATAAACTCCACCTAAACTTGGTTCATATCTGACCCAGAGAGACTGCAGGTCATAACTTCTTACCTGAAGTTCAGTTCACAGTTGGACCGGCGGCCGCCTCGGGTCTCTCCTCCTCCTGTCTCCCCTTTCCCTCATCCACCTGCTGGCCTCCACCACTTGCTAATGTTACTGAATCTGTGGAAGCTCCGCGATAGCCACCAAACAACCAAGTTATTTTACACACCAGCCAGCATCTGGTCAATCCACCACCTTTCATTGTTCATGCTGTTACAAAAAAAAAAAAAAAAAAATTGGCCCATAAAAACGGAAAATCACCATCAGCCCACCGAGCAAATGCCCGGTATGCCCGATGGCCAGTCCAGCTAGTGCTGAGGAAGGTCTCCCTGCAGAATTGCTTTTCCCTGCGTCGGGAGCAGCGCTGGGCTGTTTAAATCACGGACAAACAGGATCCCACATTCTTGATTTTTAGTTCACAAACACTTGTTGTAATGACTCACTACTCCTGACATTTTGGAGATGTTAGCTCTTTATACAGTAAAGTTACAGCGGGATACAAATAACATCAGGCTGATCCTGCCACGATTTGTTCCCCCTGTCTAAATCACAGACAAACAGGATCCCACAGCTGTTTATGTTTTTGAACCCATTTTGTACAGAGAGGCATTTTTAAAAAATGTATTGACAGCAACGTTGAATATTATTACACAGGAAAAAACAACTACACGTAAAATAATCACACCGTGACGCCTCTGCCTTTGTAAATGGAGGGACAGTAACTGCGTGTGTGTATGTAAGCGTGTAAAACCTGAAGATAGTCAGATTAACAGTATTTTGTCTATCTGCCATTCTGTCGAACATTTTTGTTGTAAAACAAAGGGGGGCCTAGCAAAAAAAGTTTGGGAACCACTGCACTGGCTCATGTACCTGAAGCTGAAAGCATTGGCAATACATAATATACAAGCCAATCCCCCATAACAAGTCTTGTCTAAACGAGTTGTTGATGTGTACAAGAATTATTGACTTTCATGTCTGTAACAAATGCAGAAACTCTGTTCTTGTCTTAAATACTGTATTTTCATTAATGTTTAAAATGTTCCAGTTTTCTCAGCAAAATATGAAGAAATGAGGGGTGGCTCTAGACTAGAGTCCAAATACCGTATTTTCACGACCATAAGGCGCACTGTGCTAAAAGGCGCAGTCTCAGTTATGTGTGCCCTTACTGTATTTAACACACACATAAGGCGCACTGGACCATAGGGCGCATACAAGTACCGTATGCGTATTTAAAAATAAAGCGGGAGCAAA